ATTTGATAACCCCGTAAACCAATGTCCTTCTAATACTCTATGTGAGTTTTATAACCATACTAATGACCCAGACTGCCTGTATCAACGTTCTTCAGGCGTTGGAATGTTATGACGTTTGTCACCCCAGCTTATCGGCCTAGCTGTAGCTAACAACTTAGGTGTGGTATTGTCAATCCCGTATAGATCTATACACAAGTATCACGCTCCCCCTACAAGGGATTATGGTATATAATACAGGACTTAAAATGTATACTCGAAAGTACATGAAATGTCTCACAAAACTTAGTATAAAACAGATTTATGAAATGAAAATGTCCATTTGTTCTTGCGTATGAAAATATCCTTTTGATAAAATGTTTCTAGTATGAAAATTTTCATGAATTTCTTGTAAACTATACCTATTATAGTTTTTCAAAGTGTGTTTCGCTCGTGTAGTAAATCCCAGTGTAATGCCCACTTGTTATGTAAAGTATACATTTAAAGTGACATAAGTAACCATATATACTTAAAGTATAAATAAAGTGTTTGATTCGTATATATACATATAAGCATGTTTTATTTCCAAAAGACAATATGTTATCAAGAATATATATTGTATACGAAAGCTCCTATGTAGTAGTTATGAATCACATATGATTCACTTGTTAAAAAGAGTATATGGTGAAACTTTATGTTACACACGATAATAACCATGTGTCTACTTGTATTCCCCCACCCCCCCCCCCCTTAAAAGTGTATAAAAAACATTGATAAAACATTTGAAAGTGTAGTTTATAGGGGTATGAACTCACTTTATTGATGGAAGAAAGCGAGATTATAATCGAGCAGAACTTCGACTTGGAAGAGTCGATTTTCTCGAGAATCTTGGAAATCTCAGGAATCTTGGGAACACAAAACCTTCCTTCGGAACTTGAAGGTGAAAACCGGGGCTTTGGGAGGGCTTCGAGGGCTTAAACACAAAGTTTCGGTGCAAGGAAGAAGAGAACTGAGCAATGGCACTCGGAGACCTTGAAATCTATTTATAGGGCCATTTTTTGAGTGCCACGTCGTGGCAGAGGGTGTGCCACATCGTGGTGAGTCAGCCTTATCCTCTTCTGTTGATTGGACGCTCTCAGTCACTAGCCGGGTCGCGACGAACTGTGCCACGTCGTGGCAAGCCTGACAGCCTCGGATTTCGGGCCTCGAACTTGTAAAATCCGGAACTTTCGCGTACAAGCTCCGTTTTCGACGTTCTTTATATGCACGTGTAGCTGAAAATATGCTCTACAACTCTCGTTTAGACTTGATCGGCAAATTTTAACTTTATTTTTAATTATTTATTTTTAACGGGCCGGGACACGAAAAGTCCGTTAGAAATCCATAATTTCTTCATCCGATGTCCGTTTTCGTCAGACTTTTCGCCGTTGACCTAATATTGTTGAGACCTTCGATTCTCACTTAGTTCGTTTCGGCAAAAAGTCTCTCGATCTCTATTTCGAGTTTTTAGCTGTCTGCTGCTATATCCGAATCTTGGAAAAATCAAAACTTCCTCATATGAAGTCATATTTGGACGTTCTTTTTACGTACGTTTATGGTTTAATGTTATCTACAACTTTCATTTAGATACTTAAGGCTAAAAACTATTGTATTGAAACTTTACGTTTTTCGCTTAATCGGTGTTGCCGAGAATCTTCGGTTGGTCATAACTTCTTTGTTATAACTCAGATTTTAGGGTTCTTTATATGTACGAAAACCTTGATACGATTCCTACTACTTTATTATACCCAAATAAGATTTTAGGAAAGTTATATTTTGGCCTAAATTTGACCGGTGTTACATTTTATTATCTCAAAATATCGAGTTTTCACAACAGCTTGAGCTGACGGACAAAGGATTTAATGCATTGGATGCGAGCAACCATAGGTTTTTGAACCTAATTGATAAATTGGTGTCCTAGCCTTTTTTTTTTAATTTTGGTAATTGAGAAAAATGTTTTTAAAGGAAATACCATAGGGATTAGCAACATACTTTAACCAATATGGGCAATGTACTTTATCTTTGATCCATAACACACTGACGTTTTGATAATCTTTACCTCTGATAATAGCGTAGTGTCATTGTAGGTAAAACCAATGAATTACATTGCTATTAAGCGTAAGGAAATAAAAATATAATTTCTATGTTTGTAAAAGGACTAAAGTATATTGATATTTCTTGTAATGTATCCATTTTTAAACGGTAAAAAAGACGTAATACTTTAACTATTACATAAAATTGTTAATCAACAAAATGGTAAACATTGACATCCTCATTTCAACACTTCAATTTTGGTATATGGAACCTCAATTAAAAACCAAAATTGACATGGAACTTTGAAATGAGAACCAAATTATTAAAAAAAACTTCTGTTTTGAAAATATTATGCTTCAATTACAATATTAAAACATTGTAATTTTTATGTCTTTTACGATTCGTAAGTTTTACTTTAACTATCTGATAATATTATATTTGAAGTGTAAAATTAATTTTAAAAATCAAAGCTATTAAGATATTTTGTTTTTCGAATCTAAGACATCGAATAATACAAATCTTAACATTCTTGATTATGAATGAACTGATTTTTATTTCTTATGGTTTTATGAAAAGTTATATATTTTTATCAAAGTATGTCAACGTCAATGTAATTAATGATTATTATTCTTATAGTCTATATGTTATTTTACTTTGTGAACCATGAATTCCACGAGTTATAACCTAATATGCGTATTAAACGTATTTATAAGGGACTTATATACAAATAAGTGTGATTTGGTTTTTGTTGTTATTGCAAAATTAAATACCACAAGCGAAAACATTTAGTTTTTGCAAAAATTAGAAACAGTACCATCGACTTTTGTTTCGGTTTCGGTTTTTTCATTTTCTTTTTCTTTTTATATTTCGTGTTCGGTTTTTGTTCAACCTTCATTTATAGATCCCATATGATATCACAACAAGAATTCGGAGTATTAGGGACGACGCTTTTTGGGACGACATAAGCAATAGCAGCGACACCAAACTTGACGCGCTTTATGTCACCGCTAAAACCCCACTGTCGTCGCTATTACCGGCGTCGCTAAAGATAACCACCGGTGATCCATCGGAGATACGCTATTTTCAATCGTGATCCTTGGTTTGGCAAATAATCCAACGGATATGGTTTGTTGCTGTGATAAGGCATTAGAGATGACACCTTTAGCGGTGACATGTTGCCGCTAAAGGGGGCGATACGTTGAAGCACCCTTAGACGAAATCTGGCCCTACAATTCCAACCAAATCCAACGGTTGGTAATCGTCAAAAAGTGCGCGTATGATTCCCTCCATTTTGTCGCCGCAAATAGCTACATGTCGCCGCAATTAGCAAAAACAAAGGTCTATGATATGCAAAAAATCAAATTTCCTAAATGGTTCCTTCATAAGGTCTATGATATGCAAAAACAAAAATCTCTAGAGTTTAATAAGGAGTTATCGGATCTTTCAATCGGTGTACATGCGCATGCCTTTACTTACACCGCTTGCATAGTGAATGGTGTTAGGTATATGGTACTTATGCATGACGCTCAACGATCAACGCAAAACTCGGGTGTTCTAACTGAGGGAGAGTATAAGCAGAAATATTATGGTCAGCTAGAAGAGATTATTGAGTTGCATTATCCTCATAAATATTCCACCGTACTTTTTCGTTGCAAGTGGTTCGATACTGCAGGAGTTAAATCTGATAATAATTTCACCACTATCGACCCACAACGTGAATTGAGCAGCGAAGATCAACTCATACTTGCTACGCAGGCCAAGCAAGTATTTTACATCCAAGAACCTTCTCCAAGTGACGAAAATGACACCCAACGGTGGGTTGTTGAAAATGTTAATCATAGAAGAATTTGGGATCTACCGATGAATGATGTTGATCATGATCCCATTGAAAATGCCGACAATGATTCAACCGATGTCATTCTTAGTAATGCTTCTTCTAATTTCACTCTCTGAATTGACTTTAGCCAATATTTTCAAAATTCTCAATCGATTGAAGATGATATTGAAGTTGACCCACCAACGAGTATCATCAATAATGTGTCTAATTGCGAGACTGATTATGATGAGGAAGATTCTGATTATGATAGTGATGTGTCGGCAGACACTGAAGTATCTGGGGGGAGAATGATTAAAAAAAATCTTTTTACATTTAAATAGTAAAATAAGGTTTGTATTTGTTGTATCATTATATATATATATATATATATATATATATATATATATATATATATATATATATATATATATATTATATTGTTATAATTTTTCAGGATGTTATTTTTTTGGATTGCATTGCTCCATCTCATGGCTGCTGTGATGGGTCATGGAGGCGACGGTGGTGACGAGCCACCACATCCGTTCGGTGGGGGTTTTGGTGATCACCAAAACGATGGTAATTAAATCTATTCTAATTCATTGTATTTCACATTGTATGTATATAAAAAATTATTCTGACTAATATTTTTTTAGCAGTGGTGCCCCGAAACGAAGAGGCATGGCGTAAATAAAAAAATGCAAAACTCTATAAAGCTAACGGTGAACGGCCTCTTAAGATAGTATTTGACGTAATACTAACATACGATTGGGGAGGTGTATGAATGTTTTATTCGGGAGGTTGGGAGCTATATGTGGCGGGACATCGGTTTTGATAAAAACACATGGACAGAGGTTTCTGAAGCCGAAAGTTGGAATGTTGCAGTATCTTTCGGTAAATTATTTATAAAGTTATATATTTAATATTTTTAATTTTGATTTAT